TCTCTCCTGTAGATTCTGCTAGCCACCAAGTTCCTTCTAGTAAACTCCTTATTGGCTTAAGATAGCCAGACCCTGCTTCTGCTGCTTACAGCCAAGAATCTCATCTGTTATTTCAAGGTCTATTCCAGATCTCGGGGCCACACTGACTTCCCACAACCAATCAGTAATCAGTTCTTACAGAATCTGCCTCCTCAGATTCTCATCTCTGGGCCTGTTCTTCCACTTCTGCTGCAACTGCCACATCACTTCTCACTGAGATGAGTGCAAGAGGACAGGAGAGGCTGCCTGTCTGATCTTCATACATTCATCTTCCAGACCACAGCTCATGACGCCAGGAAGGTTGGCCTGGATCTCTGAGCAGAGGTTATACAAAAAAAACATAAAGCCATTTCAGATGAGAACACCAGAACCTTTCTACTCAAGTGAGAATATAAACTTCCCACAGAAGAACTCAGTTTCAGTGTTGGTGCTTTCCATAGCAACAGCCCACCTAGCCAACCTCTGAACAACCACCTTCTGAGGACACAGATATCCCCATCTTAAGCAATCACCTCTCTCAAGCACTGTACCTTGTCTATCAAGAGCATGGGGGCAGTAGAGTCATTTTTCTTTCATTGGCTCTTAATGACTGATCTTTCTGAAATGACCGTGACTACATCACTCCCATGTTTAAGACCTGTGGCAGTTCCTTCGTATCTTTCAAGATAAAGTCCAAAGTGCTTAGCTCAGCGTATGGCCCTACATGGTGGGACTCCTGACTTCATCATCTCCTATAACTCTCCCTAATCTAACCTCTGTTACAGGCATGATACGGTTCTTTGGAGGAGTTAGAATATTTTATGAAAACCTGTTCCTTTTGCTTGAGATTATCTTTGTTTTATTTTCAAAATTTAAAATGTATATGATTTATAAAAGTGAAATAATTCTACAAGACTTATATAAGAACAGAAGCTTCTGGCTCCATCCTTCTCATGCCTGAATCCCACTTCCCAGAAATGACCAAAATTTACTCTTTTTATTATGTCTTCTCTTATTTGGCTCCGTATTTCTAAATAATATGCTTATATTATTAGTTCTTGATTTTTTCAGGTTTTGATATTATTTATCATTTATTGACTTCCAACTGTATATGATAAGGATTTAACTTTCATACACACACACACACACACACACACACACTTCCAGTATCCTGATCCTCCTAATTAATGATGACATTTGGTTAGTTCAATATTTAATGTTTATATTATTCTGACTCTAAATATTAGTCACAGAAGGTCCATGTAGATACTTTGATTACAGTTTCTGTCCTGTTTTGTTTCCCCAAAGTTAATAATTGTCTTTTTAAATTTATTTTCTTGGTTTTCTATGTATATATCATTTATTAATCTCCAAACTCCCTAAAATAAATTGCTCTCCATTCAATAATTTTAAACACTTCTGATAATCAATCAATTTCACCTTTTCCTTGGATACATCTCTCCTGATCCCTCCATCATCCTGTTCTAATCTAGACCAGTTGCTGCACAGCTGTTATTCTAGGATCTTCCTTTACCCCTTCCCATGTTGGATCCACTGGCTACTCTCTCCTTTTGTTGGAGCATACCCTCCAATAGCTTCCTAAAAATAAAGGGAAATTTTTTGAGACTTTGAGATCTGAAAATGGCTTAATTATACCTTTGTGTTTGATTGATTGATTGTATGAGTATCAAATTATAGGTTGGAATTATTTTCCTCATAAGTTTAAAGACATTGCTCTTTTTTCTTTCAGCCTCCTGTGTTGGTATGAATAAATCTGATGCGATTCTAATTACTGATCATTTGTATATGACCCACTTTTTTTCTCTCTGAGAGGTTTAGAGATCTCCCATTTGCCTCAGGTTTCAGAAATATGATGATATGCCTTCATGTGGGTCTTTTTCACATCTGTTGTGTAGGGGCTTTGTTTGTTTGTTTTGGGGAGGAAGATTGTCCCTAAGCTAACATCCGTGCCAATCTTCCTCTACTTCATATATGGGATGCCACCACAGCATGGCTTGATGAGCTGTGCGTAGGTCCGCACCTGGGATCTGGGCCGCAAACCCAGGGCTGCCAGAGCAGAGCGCATGCAAGGGCGCAAACTTAGCCACTACGCCACCACCGGGCGGGCCGCTGTTGTGTGGGGTACTATGAAATGAATTATCTCTCTTCAGAGTTTCCTTCATTTTCAAAAAGGATTCCACTTTCCCTGGTCCACTAAGTGAGTTACCACTTGACCCTTTGTTATATAGCTTCCTGTTCCTCTCAGTATCTTTGCTCTTGGATTTTGTCTTTTAAAAATGTCTTTAATGTCATTTTAGTGGAATTTGAAGACCTCTGGTCTCTGTCAGAGGGTGGGCCCCACCATGACCAGAGGAGGGGGAGTAGTTGCTGGCTGGAGCCCAGAATAGGCCTAGGCAACTCCCCTCACCTCCCTGAGCCAGGCTCCTCTTGCTCTGTGACTTCCAGTGTGGCCTGAAGCCTGTACCATGTAGAACCAGGAGCCTCCGTTTCCAGGCTGAGAGACAGCCAAGGATGCTTGAACCAAATCAAATGTTGACAGTTATTCAGGCATTTCTACCACAACATTGGAATTAAACACATTGGCCAAATAAAGTTGAAATTAAAAAAAAGGGGGAGATGCGAAAAAGAGGGACCTTGTTCAGCCTTGAAATCTATGGGCTCTGCCCTCAAGGCACTGGGAATCCCTCCTCCCCAGAGAAGCAAGGCAGCTACAGCTCTCCCTCCCCTTGGTCAGTGGCTCTAAACCGTTCTGTTTGCATGGCCCCTTCTGTTGTGTGTGTGTCCTCTTGCTCTCTGCATTTTTCACTCACTCTTTCTTTTTTCATGAAACCATTCATTTTCCTTTACTTATTTAACGACTCCCAAGCAAAACAAAAACAAAAAACAAAACAGTGTGCCTGTTACATTTTTCTTAAGTAAAACCAAGCTATTAATAAGGTCAAGAGTCAATATACAAAATATTCAATGAAAACTATACAAAGCCACTATAAAAATATCATTAGTGCATATCCCTTTGTGATTCATATTCCATATAACTGGTGAAACTCAATGATCAGCATCTTATCCACCATCAGGTTCCCTGCAACCATACTAAGGATGGAATTAATGGGAGCTGGCTGATGATCATGGCATGTGATAATATATATGGTGGGTGTTTTTGGAATTGCATACTCATCAGCTTCCTCATGATGGCCACATTTCCTTGGAACTGTTCTCCCTCCTGGGAGAAATGTGCCTATGTATAGAGAGCACCCAGCTCTCTTCTGTCAACATCAACATGGTGATAATAAAGATGGACAAAACTCACCCTGAGCTGCTCGCACATAGGGCTGTCAGCCATTTCACTCAATGTCTGCTCCAAAGTCTGGGGAAGAAACGTCTCGAGCTGCCAAGCCACTAACTTACACAATGGACAAAAGCAGAAGTGAGTAACTCATCCTAGGACAAAAAGACCAGTTGTTGATAAACCTATTGGTGCTCAATTTATCAAAATCAACTGGAAGTCTTCTGTTTAGAATACTCCTCACCTACCTCTCAGGTTGGACCATATTAAATTAGAAATACAGCCACTTCTGAACTACAAGAATGGTAATTTCATACAGTTCAACCTAAATAACTTCTACTTGCCCTTCAGGACTTGGTTCAGATATCCCTTCATCAGTACTCCTTCTCTGGCTTTCCTGATTTAGATGTTCTGCTCCCATTGCATGCTGGGTATATCACTATGTAGTACTTATTTCCCCATGATGGTATCTTGGGTTTATTTCTTTGTTTTTTTCCACCAGACTTCAGGTAAAGAACCACGTCCTATTCAGCTTTTAATACCCTGCATGTAACTCAGTGACTAGTAAACAGTAGGCACTCAGTAACTTCTTTTTTTTTTTTTTTTGAAATTTAAAGAAAAAATTTATTGAAGATCTGAAAAACAATTCCTAAAAGATTGACTTTTCCAGAAAACTGCAGCTACACAATGCATTGCGTCTATCATGTTAAAACGTGCATTAGACACAAATACAAAAACCATGTAACAAGCCACCATTCTTCAACAATCTGAGCAAAGATAAAATGCCTAAGAAACAACATGGATGACTTGCAAAGGATGGGCTCTTTAAGCACCATAAAAAAAAAAAGAAAAAAAAAAAGAGCACAAATGGGTGAGTGTGTTCAGTTATATACACTGAATTGAACCTTTGGCACTAGGAATCAGAGCATTTTGTCATATAGCATTAACACATATTATAAAAGTGCGTAGTGTCAAAGGAATAGAACCACCAGCATTCAAAAGCAGCTTTGTCAACTAGGCAATAAAACACTCTACAGTATGTCTCTCCACTGTCCATCACTGAATACACTGGTAGCAACTTTGAAATGAAGAAAAAAGAAAAGAAAAAAGGAGCTGTAACCCCTTTTATTTTCTCTGTTTAAAATCAAACAGAAAACAAACATCAATTCTGTTATACACTAACATTTTCAAAGTACATCATTTGTACAAGAGAAGGACTAAGAACAAAAATGTGTTTACAGAGATCCAAACATAAGTGAGTGTCAGCGCCTCTCACACAGCTTTCCGATGGTACTCAGGAGGAGCCACTTCGTAATCGCTGGCACTAAACAAAGTTGCAGAATTCTTTGCCAGATAT